GATTTCTGAGGAACCTTTATATTCTCTTTCAAATTCATATGGTGATTCATCGTTAAATACTATACCTTATGCCGCAAATATGCCTGATAAACAGTTGCGTACGGAATTATATCAATCTGTTTATAATCCTGGATACAATCCATTACCGGATGCTCCACATATATGGGCAAAACATAGTAATGCTTTAAACAGGGTAGTAGCAAAACAAAATACAAATCCGCGAAGGTGGTCGAATGAAGAAGTTATTAAATTTATACAGAGCGTCCCTAATTGTAAAGAAATTGGAAATATCTTTAGACAACATGTATGTATTAGAAAAAAAAAAAAAAATTTTATATAATTTGAGTTATGCTTAATTTTTTATTTTATTTTCACAGAATATAGATGGAGAAGCATTTTTAATGTTAACTCAAGAGGATTTGGTATCATTATTGGGATTGCGTCTCGGTCCTGCGATTAAATTGTATAATAGCATAGTTCTTTTACGTCGAAGGGCAACGTGAATGATATGCGATGAACGCATATATAATTGGGTTTTAAAAAGTGCAAAGTGGCAGCTATCTTAATGATCGCATCAAATGTATTTATGAAAAATAAAAAAAAAAGAGAGGCTTAACAATCATTGAGATAGGAATGTACCTCCTATCGTAATTAGAACATTAGTTTACAAATGGAGGAGGAAAGTGTAATAAATTTTAATTTAATGATGTAAAAGACAATTATTGAAGTGAAAGGCAATTATGTGCTTGAGTTGAAATGGACAATTTTTATCCGTATGTGATCACGAGATATAATTATAATTCGGACATATGGCCATGATGAAGTACTTACGATTGTCCGTTTTAATTTTTTCCTATACAGTGCATTCAATCATGTACAAATGTAAATATTAATAATCTTAATAATTAAATATTGTAATACAAAAAATATAAGTAGTTTTTCGAAGAAATCTACACCTGACCTGCGATATTAATATTAAGAATAGCTTACTTTCGTCCTTCGAATTCTTTTTAGGGCGAATTTATTAGCAATAATAACATATTTTTTTATAACGTATTATAATACCAAATGTTTCTAATATTTTACAATTTAACAATATTTCATTTTTACAATAAATAAAAACAACGAAAGCCAATTCGAATAAAAAAAAATAATTGTAAATATATGTCTAATAAACAAAAAATTTAAATCCAATATACGATGTATATTATATATAAAATAATGCATGAAAAAATTAAAAATATTCCCTAACTCCTTTCAAATAATAAGGATGTTCAATGATTCATTAAAATATAAAAATGGAATATTCATAATAAATAAAAATTAATTAAAATAATAATAATATTTCAATTACTCCCATTTGTTACTCATTGGCTTTCAATTGATATTAAAATTTAGTATCATGTTACACGACAAAGAGACGGTGCTCTATTTAAAATGCGTTTCCCTTCTCATTTGTTTCAGACCACTCGCAGGCCGTTTTTCTCCCACCATACCAACCAAGTGTCTGCTATGGCGATGTTTACAGCGTAGTCACGGCGGCTGGCCATGT